TCCGACATGGCATAGTAGCGTTTCATCCCATACTCCACTTTTTTTTTTTTGAAGGCCTCGTACTCCCCTTTGGCTTTCAAGTTTGCCATGTGCTGGTGGTAGCGTCGACGATGGAGGGCCTTTACTTTTTCAATCCCGTTCACAGAGGCATACATACGTTTCCGATACAGTTTTTGGTTCCGTTTGTTGACCTCGGGGTCCCGCTTTTTTCGGTGCGATGTTGGTGTATCCATACTTTAATTCCAGTAAACGAGAAGAACACACGTCCGCTAAGGCCCGCAACTTTCGGAAGGGGCTCTCGGTTCTCTGTCGAGCCTGGGCACGTCGGTCCCGTTGCTGCTGTACAATCTGCTCGCGGTGTTTGTGATAATAGTCCCGGTTCAGCAAGCGTACATAGGCCGCGTTTTTGGTGCGATACCGCAGACAGGCCAGTCGGTTCAATTCTCGGGCTCGGGCTTCCTGTTCGGGGGTCGGCGCTGGTTTAGGCGGTTTAGGCGGTTTCACCTTTTTCTGGGCCGCCCGCTTTTCTCGTTTCTGCTGTAATAATCTTTCTTTGTTCTTGACGTACCACGCGTGTTTCAACTCTCTTGCTTTCTCAGGATTTTTGTTAGGCATTTCTCAAACGCAACTGACGTCTGTTCTGATGGACAGACTTTATCTAAGGGATTCTCCACCAATCACCGATCTCGGTCCAGGCCTAGAGGCGATGGAAGGAGTCTGTACCCATGGGGGGGACCCCCCTTAATCTTCTTCTGGTCGATCCAACCCCCTCACCTGACTCTCACCTGAGCTGGATCCACCAATCCCAGCGCAGGCGAGATCACGTGAGACGGTCTATAAAAGTCCACAGCCAGCGCGGGAAAATTCAAATGGTTTGCCGCTGTCATGGCGGAGGCATATCCATTCAGTGATGATGACGAAGGGGATGTTCTATTGGACCGCGCCTATGATCGGTGGGAACAGTTGGGAGGGGCTGCTGTCCGTGGCCCTCTCTTTCAGTTTACTATGCAACCTATTGGTCGACGACGCCGCTGGCGTGATGTAGTGGAGCGGGCGCAATTCAATGCGCAATTACGGCAATTGCGGGATCCTGTGCCTGGAGACAATATTGGGTTGGCGTTGACCGAAGCACTCCATCAAGCCATTGAAACAGAACTGGGCCGCGAGCAGCGACCTGCCCACCATTTTGTGAATTTTGCTATTACAGCGCATGGGTTCACCCACGCTTACCAAACAGCCAATTTTACCGTGGGGGAATTTTTACAACGTACCGCCCGTTTGGATGAAATGTTGGCCACGTTAGCCGGCAAGTTGAACAGTAATGAAGCCTTCAACCCCGATCGTGGGTTCCAAGTCGATGTGGTGTTTGTGTCTATGCCTGGCCCAGGAACAGGCCATCGTAAACAACGCAATGCCGGACGTCTATGCTTGGATCGAGAGAACAAGAAAAAGAAATGCATTATCACTATTCGAAACAGAGATGCTTTATGTTGTGCCCGCGCGATCGTTACCATGCGAGCCCATTGCCATAAAGATCAAGGCGTGGATGGGTTTCGTGACTGGGACAATCTCAAACGGGGGCGTCCTGTGCAGTTACGTCAAGCCCAGGCCCTTCATCAGCAAGCAGGGGTGGCGGAGGGACCCTGTGGTTTACCCGAGTTGCGTCAATTTCAACAGGCGTTGGGGTCTCAGTATCAGCTCTTGGTGATGACCCGGATGAAACCCTTTTTTCTCATCTTCAAAGGCCCTGATGCCCCTCATCCAATCCGTTTATTGAAATCCAACGATCATTTTGATGGTTGTACGTCTTTTCCGGCGTTTGTCAATCGCTCTTATTATTGTGTGGACTGTGAACGAGGATTCAATACCAACGATCAGGCCCATCACAGTTGTCAAGGGAAACGCTGCAAAGCGTGTGGTCGATTTGACTGTCCTGATTATGTGCGTGGCACTCGCCCTACGGACTATTGCCCCTTCTGTCATCGCAAGTTTTACGGTGAGCAATGTAAACATCATCATGTGGTCAGCAAGCAATGTCAATCCATTAAAACCTGTCTCAAGTGTCAGGCCCAGTACAACGTTCTCCCTAACCAACGTCACCAGTGTGGGTATGCCAAGTGTCCCGTGTGTCACGAATGGGTGTCTATCCAATACCACAAGTGCTACATTCAACCCGTGGTGGAGAATGAGGAAGA